AACTTCTGTAACGATTAATGGAATTTTGGGTTGTCGCCCTAATGGAGTTGACTAATATGACCTCTGTATGGAGGAAATGTAAAACAGATATTTGCCAATCGAAGCAGTACAATAGAAAAGACAGGTTAATTGTTTTCCAAACTATTTCCTTTTCACACCTGAACACAGAGCTAGGTTCAATTTCTCACCCTTTGTGAAGTTCATTGAGACCATGTGATTGTGTTCTTGTTAATTAAATGTGTATAATTCATGTGCTTTCAGTGTTCTCACGAAATGTTCCAGGTGATCTTCAACTCACTCTTATTCTCTGTCATCATTTGGCCAGAGAGGATTCAAACCACGAGAATGGCAAAACCTCTAAATAGAAAAAGCCTCAGTCCAGAGTCACCCATAGAATAACTAATAAACAACCTATGTGACCTTGGCATTAAAATATTGGAATTTGCTTGTATGACATCTAGTACTATTTGCACTAACTAATAAGAAAGGTTTTCATAAGTCCATCTATATGTTGTTGGGAGTAAGTCAGTAGTGAGAGACTATGTAATGAGAAAAACTGTCACACTATTCTAACACAACTTAATACCACAATGGTTTATTTGTGAATCCTCAACCAACCTCCAAATCATAACCTAAATGGCTGGCACAAATAAAATTAGCACAGGTCTTGGAGACAGAAAATATTTCAACCTGAATACCATTCCAAGTTCTAAAAATACAGCTTTTTGATACAGGGCAAGTTAATTAAATGTTCTGAGCTTCAATGAGGGAAAATAATGCCTACCTCACAAAATTATATACTGATGAAGCCAAAACATAGCACAATGCTTAAACAGAATAGTTACTCAAAAATTTAATTTCCTTTTCTTTCCATTTCATTCCCTATCTCTTTTCATTTCTTTCTCTATATTGTCACTTTTCTCTACATAACTATTAAAAATTTTATTAATTATATTGGTTTATTAAACATATAGTTACTGTACTACTGAATAGGGAATTCTTTAAGATCAATGACATCATCTCATTTAGGTCTGTATTCTCAGGATTTAGTCAAATGTTGATTACATAGAAAAACTCATGGGAGTCTAATGAAATGGTGATTCAGTTAATGAACAAACTTACACTGGCCAAATTCCTCAATATTGACTCTATCAATCATTCCTTCATATTTTGGTCAAAATGTATAATTGTGTATCTATATTTGCATGTGTTTATTTTTTTAGTTTGTGTTCCCGGGAAAAATAAAAGTTCTATGAATACAAATTCTGACTTGTACCCTAATAAAAACTCATGTCTAGAAAAAAGTTAGGGCTCAGTAAAAGATTTTGATGAATGAATAAATGATAATGGAAAGTAAAGCAAAAGACTCTTCATTTGTTTGTAAAAAAAAGAAAAAAAAAAAAAACAGAACACAGACAACAAAACCTGTTAGGTCATTCTACAGTGACAAATTAGACCAAAACTTCAGTTTTTAATACTGCGAAGATTTTGTATTAGTTTGCCATGGCTTCTGTACTAGATTACCATGCACTTGAGAGTTTAAAATAACATGAATTTATTTCTCACCGTTCTGGAAGCCAGATGTCAGAAATTAAAGGAATGAATGGATCCATTCCCTTAGTTCTAAAAATACAGAAAATAATCTCCCCAAACATCCCAAGATCAGATCTGTAGTGGTAAGACAAATGGCTATACTTTGTTTTTTAAAATTTCTGTAGAGATTTCTAGGCTTTTAAGAAAGAAGTAGGTGTGAGAAAGCTTGCATCAGGTCCTAACATCACCTAAACCAGAGATTCTAGTGAGTTTTAATTTTTGTGGCCTAAATTGGCTGTAGCACTGCTGATTTGATGAGTGGAGGCTCTTCCCTCTAAGCTTCCCTCTCCCCTCCCATGTCCTCTCAGCTAAAAAAACATACACACATTATCCTCGGATATCTCCAGTCAGATTAGGAGGGTCAATCCGGAATTGGGAGCCTCCTGAGATATCCACTTGTATGACACTAAATGCTTCCTCTGAGATTTGTGTGATAGGTCATCTCTGCCTTGATATTTGCAAGAGCACACTCCTGAGTTATATTCCACTACATAGAGCTCCACCGGTGGGGAAGGAGTGTTCCTGGGTGCAGACTTCTGGTCTATAATCTGGTCATGAAGGTTTTCCATACTTCCTCCTTTGTACCTTCATTTGTCTGTTCCTACGACAAAGGTAAATATGAAGAAAACATACAATCATAGCCAATTAGGATGGGAAAGGGCTCTAAAAGGGCCAACAGTTTTTATTTTGCAAATGAGGGAAATATATCCCAGAAAGGTTAAATGGGACCATAGGCACCCTGTTAGCTAGTCATCTTGTCACTCCTAATATGCTGTTCTTTCCACTCTATATGCTGCTTTACAGCATCCAGATCTCCATGCTCATTACCATCAGATGTCTTATGTAAATGACTGGGGTGATGGTTAGACTCCAAAGGGATATTCCACCTCCTAATTTTTTAAAAAATTTAGAATGTGCCATAGTTGAAGTAGTGCAAATACCACCTCTCTTTCTGAATGTCAA